AAGGTGTGACTGAAATGAAAGGAATGAGAGGGAAAATATCTCTTATCATCCCACTGCAGACTCTTGGGCCTCTTATTATCTCTAGTTTCCACCAGGATCCTCTTGAGACAATCCCTGAACAGCCTCCCACTCTGGAGTGGGTAGGCTTCTACTATGGACTTCAAATGGGGAGCCATTTGCAATGCACAAAGGTATAGAGTGCACCTAGTCGTAGAGAAGCCGCCATGGAAAAGCTTGCAAATGTCACTGTGTTGAAGGAGGCATCTGCTAGGAAGGTGACCACTTTGAGAACATGGTTGGCACTCCCTATTGCCCTTCTGTTGTTGCTAGGAGTGACTGAATCAACTTCCAGGCCCACAGAATTGCTAGTGGGTTGTAGCACTGCTACCACAACATCCACTAGGGGAACCTGCAAGAATTCCATAGCATGAAGAGCCAAGGGATAAAGCCTCTGGTATCATTTGGGAAATGCCTGTTAGATATAAGCTTGGCCCACTCTTCCTTTTCATCAGCCTTTTGAAAAAATCAGGAAAAGTAAATCGATCTCCCTGAAGGAGCCCTAGGGAAAAATTCCTTATTCACCTGGGGCCTGGATTTACTCCCTAAGTGTTCCCCTCCAGGGTCAGGATTTTCTGTGAGGTCTAGGGCCAGGATAGCTTTGGATAAGAGAGAGTGATAGTTATCCACATTGAACAGGCACAGGTGTTGGTCAGCAACTATGGGCACCTCCACTGAGCAAAACTCTCCCACCTCCCTCTTGGGTTCTGAGACTGTGACGAGAAGCTGCCCATCCCTAAGGGGCTGGACCTTATGGTTAAGTGCGGGGTCTAATCTGGGACCTTGTCAGGGGTGGCAGCAGAGGAAGAGGCTTTGTGGGCCGGGCCACCTAGGTGTGCCACTGAGAGCGAAGGTCCTGATAGGATGAAGTGTGCCCCTCCCTACACCTAGACCCCTCCTTGTGGGCAGGAAGGGTGACTTCGGTTTGGAATGCTTGGAACCTTGAGATGGGGTGGGAGAGGAGAACTCTTGCATGCCTTGCAGCTCCTCTCTCAGTGCTCTCTTTTTAAAAGTTCCATAATCTCAGCCAAGCAAGGATTCTTCCCACCCACAACCTTAGAAGGGGGGAGAAAGCACTTTACCCCCTGAAGATCTACTCCAGAGGTTAAGGAGACCCTCTGGCTTGGGGGATCCAACAGAAGTGCCTGGTATGCCATCATAGCCCTTTGGGGGCCAAACTGGCAGCCAAGAAAGCCAGGGGGGCATCCAACAGGAGAGTCTGATGCACCATGATAGCCCCCAGGGGCCAAACTGGCAGCTGAGAGAGACGGGGGCATCCAATAGGGGAGCCTGGCGTACCATTGTAGCCCCCAGGGGCTGAATTGGGAGTCAAGAGAGCCATTTGCACCCTAAGTACCATTTTTGTGCCTTTTTATGATGCATTTCAAAACACTTTTGTGCTTGAGCCTGGGACACTCTGAGCTAGGCTCAGTGAGGGAACTCTCTTGGCAAGAGACCCAAGTAAGGAGGGGAGGATCTCATCATTTTCAGATCTAAATTTGTCTTTTTTATGTCCCACTGGAGCCTCTGAGGCTTGCTGATGGGCCATTATCTTTCACATCCCTCCAAGGAAAGAGGGGGGGCAGCAGAGAGAAAAACTGCGAAGACAAACAAAAAGCAGCAGAGCCAAGAGGAGATGTGTTAAAGTTGTGAAGAGAAAGAGGGTCAGGGTGGAGAGGTCAAGAATCTCTCCCTCAGGTATGAAATCACTCTAGGATCAAGACAAGTAAAACTTTGCTGCAAAGCTGCACTCCCTAATGAGGCAGGAAACCAACAGAGCTGGGGTGACTCCCACCTTAGAGACAGGAAGATGAAGAGTTTAGTCCTGCCTCCCTGAGCTAGTGGTTGGAATCCCCCATTCCAAGATGTCCTCCTCTTCAGAGCAAGAACAAAAAGGGTGGCCATTCAACATTGGTTTTGTGGGTCCATATTAATTTAATTGCTAATTAAAATTCTTAGAAGTCATATCTAAAGAGAATTCAGCAGCCTATAGGAAATAATCTGGTAAAATCTATACTTTCGGTAGAGATTTTAAATATTTTCGCAGCTGTAAGAGTGTTCAGAAGATAACCGATGGACAGTATTTTAAGTCCATTATCAAGCTGTTATGAATTTTAAAAAGTGGGAAATAAATGTGAATAATAATACTAGACATCTGCAACTGGCCCAACATCCTTCTATTTCTTGTAAGATTTCTGCTTTTAAAGTCAATATGCATACTAATAATGGAAAACCATGTTCCTAAAAATGTGCTGACATGATACTCTGTCTTCCTTTTTCCTCCTCACGCACTACTTCATCCTAAATTTTATTTTCCTAACCAGCCTTGGTAACATGAAACTTGTATTTTTATTAGCCACAATTACTCAACCAGCAGTCGCGCAACTGTTTCTAATTGTAACAAATATAGTAGCAGCGATGTCACATCAGACCAATGGTTCACGCAATGGCCAACCAGGTATTACCAGAAGGCCTACAAGCTAGGCACAAGACCAAAGCAGTTCCCTACTCCCTCTCCACCCTCAGTGATATTCAGAGGACTAATGACTCAAGAAGTTCTGTTTAGTAATTGTGGCTAATTAAGCCACTGATGGACCTATTCTCCATGTATAATACCTTTTAAAATCTTCTAAACTAATAGCCTTCTGTGATAATTTTTAAGTGACAAAAATAACTTCCCCCCTATCCTGAACCTACTGTCCATCAGTTTCCCCCACAAGTGCCCACAAGTATTATGGTATTTCCACCATTGCAATTTTGTCAGTAAGTCCATTCCTTGTAAACTCTTATTTAAAGAACTCTATGCCCTCTCAAATATATAGAGCCAACCCACATCAGATATACTCTTCCTGTACAGCTTTATGCGGGGACAGCCATAGCTGATTAACAGGTTACGAAATACTGGATGCTCTTGATGGTTTGCAAGTTAGACAGCCTTTTTTCTACATCAATCTATAGAAGAAAGTAACCCATCTTATTGTAATGATTTAGAAATGAAATATATATAGGACACGTGGTTATAAAATAAGGAGATTTAAAGGGAAATTATGGGAGATAGCATTTACAAGTGCAATTGTACTGGAGCAATTTTGAGAGGCAGAAATATTAAACTAGGCGTGCCAATTCTACTGGATTGATTAAAAATTATATATCAATGAAGTAGAAACAGAACAAGATTGGCAATTTGTGGAAGACTACTATCAAAGAATGTCAAATTTACTTTTTGTTGTAGAACAACTTGTAAATAACTTGTTAGAGTTTGAAACTAATAAAGATTTAAAGAAAAAAATCTATACAAGAAAATATAAGGAAGAACAAGGAGCGCTATAGGCATCTGCTAAAAATCATGTAACCAGTGAAAAGGAGAAAAACACACTGCTTTATATAGGAATGTTTTCATTTCAGTAAAATTTAGGATTCTGAAGTCAGAGAAAAGAGGTGCACTATTTGTCTATCAAAGGTTGACTACAGTTAAGTCATATTTTAGGTTACAGTTTACTGCAAGAGTTTGCACTTACTGTAATTATTCATAAATCTGGCCTCAAGGACAGAAGACTAATAAAACGTTTTAATTTCATAAACCAATATTACAATCCCCAGAACAGCAATTTCTTTCACACTGAAGCAAGCATGTTACTAACAGGGCAAAAAAATAAACAAACTAACGCAAGCAGTAGGAGGGCTTAATTTTCAAAAGACCTGTAAAAGCCTTCCCAAGAACGGGCATACATTCCATGAAACATGCTAAAAAGCTTCATAAACACTTGCTATTTTATTTGTTTGCCATCAAGTTGCAGCCAACTTATGGCGAACCCATTGGGTTTTCCAGGCAAGAGACGTTTTCCTTGGTGGTCTCCCATCCAAATACTAACCAGGACTGACCCTGCTTAAGTTCTGGGAGCTGGTGAGATCAGGTTAGCTTGGGATATCCAGCTCAGGATAACTCTTGCTATAGTAAACTGCATTTCAGACAGAGGAAACAGGACGCAAAGCAACCCATTTTAATCATCATCCTGCAAACCAGCAATGGGCCACAAGAAGCCAGCCAGAAACGTGTAATCAAAATTCTGTGTTAAGTCAGGGATGTTACCCCAACAAGTATCAGAACTGCAACCTTCCTCTAAGACCCTTTTGGTCTTCTACATCTATTGGTTAGTCAGTTAGAATTTAACTGTTTGTCCGCTCTCTAAAAGCACATGCTGTTTGATTAGACTGTTTTAACTAATCACCTAGTACAACTACCAACACATGGGAAAGGTTAAAAGAACAGATTTCCCAGACCAAATTGAGTTTGCCAGTCTAATCAGGATTTCACACACACGAAACAGGCTTTAACGAAAAGTAAGATAAAATAGTGAACAGAATGTTAAATCTAATAAAGTCTTCAGAAGCTTGTTGAAAAATCATTTGAAAACCAGATAAAAGCCTTATCAGGCATTACCAAATAAGACAAAAAACCACTTAACAAAACTGAATTAAGGTAACCTATCCCTACTATTCATCTCAAACACACTAAATGATAACAAAAAAGGGCTTTAAAATACTTGGATAGCAACAGAAATCCATTTCAAGGACCAGAGAAATGTTATCTTGAAATGGCACTGAACACCTCAATGTCCCTTGCAAGTAATTCACTGTGTCATAAGACTGAATACAGAACCCACATTATTAAAATGTGCTTTTCAAAATCCACACTGTTCTCCCATACAGCAAGTTATCAATGCAAACTTAATTAACAAACATTACCTGAAATTCTGAATATACAATTATTTCAAATGTTTTCCCATGAACTCTTAATAGCTCCCACAATAAAAGTATCATATACTTCCTGATTTCAACATACTCATACATGAATTCTTACAACTATGGCCTACATTAGATGATGCAGAATGCTAAGATATATCCTTAAATTCAATTTACTCAGTACAAAAAAACAAACTTACATGAAGGAATGATGAACTGTGGTTCTGTATTACCAGCATATCCCAGTTTGGTATACCTGTAAAAGAACAATATTGAACAGGTTACATAACAGTGATGCGGTAGAATGGTAATAAAAGATGCCACAGAGAAATATTGTTTCAGAAAAATATGTAAAAAGTCACTTATTAATCTTAACACTTAAGTACTAGCCCAACTTCAGAATGCACAGTATCAGAAAAATTACCTTTAAAGCAGTTACAATGATCCTAAATCTGCATCATTTAGCACATAGCTCAGTGTAATAATATTGTTCTAGGCTAGCTAAACAACAACAGTGGTGGGAGAAGAGAAATGCATGGATGTTCTGTAAACTTTTGCTGCAGTTGATCACCAGCCTGAACAGATTCCACCTAGGACCAACACATGTAAAACATTAAAAAGCAACAGATGTCCAAATGATTTTTCATTTAAAGCCAGCTTGCCTGCTCAGCTAGAAGTTTAAAAGTGTAACAAATTTTACTTTCTCTCGCCATCTCACTCTGGGTTTTTGTGTTCCTAATATGTTAATTAAGGAATTAAATGTCCGCGTCTCTGAAGCACTGTATTGCTGTTTAATAACTTTAAAACCAAGGATCTCAAGGTTGTAGTCTGCCTTTAGACCACTCCATTGCTTTTTTCTTTAACAGTACGACACATTATTGCTGAGAGACTCTTAAAGAAGTTTTGGTTTTAATTCAAGCTAAATTTTAATATACAGTTCCCAGAATACATTCAGATTTACATGGTGCATGCGTCCTTACCCTGGAACCCTTACTCTGGTAGACAGACTCTCAAACCAACCTAAATTAAGTCTAATCCAAGTTTAATATATTTGGATTACAATCAATATAAGTACATTAACAATTGAGCTTAAATTCTATTGAATTATGGCCACACGTTCAAGCATAAGTGGTCAATGTAGTACAGCAAGCCAATATTTAGAATCCATTTTACTAGCTATGTGCGCGTTTAATGTCTTTTTGTTAATATATGTTTATTCTGCTCCAATTTCTCTTTGAATTTGATTCTTTACAATTCTCTTCTGTACGGTAAATCTCAGTTTTGTCACTAAATCCCTCACCTTTGCTCTTTTGCAATTGCTTCTCCATAGAATGCTCTCTTTTCTCACATCCATTATGTTCCCTTCTCAAAGGCATTTAAATGACTCCCCTCATATTTTCATGAATCCAATTTACTCTCACCATCTGGCTATCAATTAAATATCCTTTGTGCCTGAATATCCGCATCTTCTTTCCCCTTTTCCATCTTAGGTTCCTTGTCTTCTTTTAGACTGCAAACCACAAGCAGGGGACTATTCAAGCTTCTGTATAGCACCTAGTGCTGTATTTTTATTGTCAACCAGTAATGCTCTCCAAACAGGACATTTTATTGCTGTTTATTTTTTTACCTGTATTTGATTTCAGCAGTGGAAAGACTTTCATGACATGTTAAGGCCATAAACATCTCTCCCTCTCTCAACTATCATGAGAATGGTAAAAGGATACTATCAAATCTTATTCATAGTAGTGGTACGCAAACCAATAGAAATCAATTTTTATGCTTAACTCTGCATAGGATCAAGCTTATAACTGACTTCAGTACACTTTGTGCTGGCTAACGACCACATGTTTTTAATGCTACAAAGAACTTTCTTTAGGAATAGCACAGTGATATTAATGAGTCGCTTCAGGGGTAAGCAGTGAGACCACTCTCTATTACTAGCATAACTGTCATTGGCATTACTGTGGTATTACAAAGCAGCACTATATTTGCAATGTATCTGGAAGCCAATGTATTAACAGTGCTGTTCTGAACTCTGTACTGTATTGCTGCATTTATAATTATATGGCACTAAAATGTTCAGCAGTACAGAAGCCTCCATGAGTCACAATGACAAATGGGCAGGAATGACTTCTATTGACAGAGAAGGAGTGGAAAAGCACACACTTCAAGTCTTTTAGGCATACATATAGCTAGAGAACCACACCTATTTAAACTGGCTTTCTTCATTCACCAAGGCCAATGAGAGGGACTAATTATTTGGAGGAATACGTCCAATTAAAAATCCCCTGAAAACTGAGTCAACCTGACCTACTGGAACCCCAGACCTATATGTAATATTTTAATGGAATAAGGACTGTAGTCTACTGCAATGATTATTCAAAGTATTATCCTGCTTTTATTGCATTGTCTTCTGCCTCTGTAATTCCACTTATTATACCACCTATAGTATACCTTAGGCATTTTGGCGTTCACATTATCTTCTATTTCTACAATCCTAGTCCTATTAAACTGTTCATTCGATATTTTATCCTGCATGAGTACATAGTTTTTATTCTATTATCTACCTTTGGTTTCAGTGAGGAAGGCAGACTGTAAATGAATACATTTTAAATTATGACAATAGCTTAAATAATTCAAAACAAGTATTATGGGATGAAAAAAGATTAGTGATTATGGATTTTATAAAGTGGGTCATCAAATGTTTGAGGTATTTCATAAGTTTCACACTTACCTCCAATGCCAAAACTTGTGAAACTTCTACATACTAACAAATGCCTCTACATACTTTTGCCTTTCTTGCAGGCATCCCAGGACCCAAGGCCAGTAACACCCAATGCAGACACCCAGTGTCCCTTGCCAACCAGTTTCCCTCTGGAATGTGATTCCCAGCTGCTCCTATTCTCTGTGAGGTACCACATCCCTATTGACAAGGCACACATGGGTCCACAATAATTATGGGTATAAAAGCAATAGGGAAAAGGGGGCAAGGCTTTGTTATAAGCAAACTACAGCATAATATACAGTTCATCCCATGCACTTTCCAAATCAGGCCTCTTCTACTTACCCCCTTTAGCAGAAGTACAGACTAATTATGTCCTCCTTTTAACACTTTGCTTTTACTGTCTTTTGCATTATCTAATACTATTTACCTTTGTCAGGCAACCTGGGAATGTATATACAGTATCTCTTGGGCACATGTTTCCTGGGAGATTTGCAGAAAGGTAAAGATAGAATTTAAACTGACAATTGGAGAGACCAAGATTCCCCAGAATCATAGTGTGAGTATTCTCAGACTAACAAAAGGAGTCTTATTACCTTTTTCCTATTTCTAGGGAGGTTCATAAATGCAGTTGGGAACAGATTGTTGCTTTCTAAACTTGTCCAATGCCACCTTCAAATAGGTGCTACATACCAGCAATGATAAGCTCTGAAAATGCCAGTTACATAAATTTAAACTAGCTACACCTAGCTACATCTACACAGAATCAAAAAGCTAGAGGCAGCCTGTGATGGACAGGTTAGATTCCACCTAAGAGCAACCAATGAGAGCTGATGGAATGTTGGGGAAAGACAACTGAAAAACAGTGGTTAGAAGGAAGAGGGTAGTTGGGAGCTGGCAGCAGGGATGTTGAGAGGGAAAAGGAAATGTCTAAGTGAAGCTGAGGTGAAGATCCGCTTACAGCTAGCTAACTAAAAAGAGTCCATTTGTAACACAAGATCCAAGATACCAAAATAGGAAAATACTTCAACATTTCCAGGAAAAAGAAACATTGTTACCTCTACCTTACATGTTGTTCAATCCATAAATAAAAGTTAACTCCTTGTTTAACCGTATGGGTCTTGTGTCTCAGGGAAATAAACGCACAAACACAAAAATTAATATGTAGATAGATAGATGATAGATAGATATAAAATAACATAAGAATAAATAAATAACTCCCTGAAGTGTTTGAGTGAGGGCCAGTTATTAAAGGGGGCCAGGCTACCCTGACTGTGGATGTCTTTGTGAGTGAGAGAGAGGACCTGAGATGTGAAATGGTCAGGGCTCTCACTATATTTTAAAAGCATCAAGAAAGGTGGTGAATGTGATGGCCAGACCTACTTGTAACCCTGAATGTGTGTGAGAGAGAGAGGTTGTAGAGGGTGGTAGGCACTCTGTGTGAGTGGAAAAGGGGCATCACAGGGCCTAAAGACCATCTAGTCCAACCCCCTGCACATGCAGGATGACAAGTCCTATCCCTCACTCCAAGACTGTGTCTTCTTTGCTGCTGCATTACACTGAATACTCATTACACTGAATACTCATACTCAATTTGCAGTCCACCAAAATCCCATTCCATTCACACATGCTACTGCTCAGAAGAGTATCCCCATCTGGTATGCATGCATAACATTTTTATGACCCAGATGCAAAACCTTACATTTATCTCTATTAAATCGCATCTTGTTCACATCTGCCCATTTTTCTAATGTATCCAGGTCTGACTGTATTTTATCTCTATCTTCTGGACTATTCACTATTCCACCTAATTTGATGTCATCTGCAAATGTAATGAGTAGTTCCTTCACACCCTCATCAACATCGCTGATAAAAATATTATTTAGCATTAAAGCGCAAATAGAAAGAAATCACTTGAAGTGCACAAAACAAAACATGTAGACATGGATACGAACAGAGAGTTTGGTACACCTCACATGAAAATAAATATTTAAGAACTTGTACTTTTTTATGGCAGTTTAATAAACGAAAATTATCTTTACTTTCTTTGAGGCACCAAACATGCAGAAGTATATTCACTTTAAGAAAATTTTAACTTGCTTACAAACCAAAGTAGCTTCTTACTTCCTATGTGGTAAGTTAGAGAGAGGTATCTCTTATGCATCCACACACCAATCCAGCGTTTCTGCAAAATTCTCAGACAACTATGTAGAACTCTTTATACTCTCAGAAGACAACTATGGCTTTTTTCTGACATGACACCAACCCATGGTTTAATTAAACTAACTAACATGTTCATCCAAAAAGACACCATTTCAATAACAATGGTTAGCTGGCTCCAAACCAGAATCTGCAGCTATTATCTGATGATTTATTAACTGTAGCCTTTACTGTGGTTCCATGAGATGTATCACTACTTGTTCCCTAGTATCATTGGCTCCAGAGATGCCTCAGTAAAGCAACGTCTGTCTAGGCAAACTATTACTTCAGTGGTTTCTCAAGGTATCTGAACCAAGTCACTGAACACCAACTGA